ATGTAAGCATTCTGAAAACAATTGTTAAAGGGCATCATGGTAAATTTTGCTTTTGAGAATCAGAAATGATTGAAATACTTTCAAGCAGATAATCTGCAGCAAAAATAGCCAGAGCGTTCGCTTTACCAACATTTTCTAGCTGAACGTTCGCTTTATCTGCCATACAGATAAAGCGAACACCTAGTATATTTTAAAAAACATCATTAAAAAATCGAAAATACATTCGATTGAGCTGAACCGCTGGAATTAGATAGAGTTCAAGGAGAGGAAGCGAATCATGTCATTTGAAAAAAGAAATATTGAAATTTTCAAGCAGGAATGCTTAAATTCGCTAATTAATGACATTTTTGCTTGTTCTGCGCTGGAGTGTTCGCTTTATCAAGAATGTTTTTGCTTAGCGTTCGCTTTACCAACATGACGGATAAAGCGAACGTTTTAGATGTGTCATTTTATACCGCTAATTACTCAATCATAAAAGCACCTAGAATCTTTTTTTTCATATGAGCAGATAGAGAAATCATTTCTCTTCCCAACTAAATCAAAAGAAAAATTTTACTCCTTAAAATAACTGAGATATACGAGATAGAACAGAGACACCCTCGAAAAGCGTTCGCTTTACCAACATTGACTCTATTGATTGAATAATTTCCATATTTGAAAATCATTTTCAAGCTACTGCTCAAAGTAAGTCAGAAAAAAATACACGTAGATGAATACAAAAGTCATTGGAAACAATGGTTTTCTTTGTTTTCTTAATAGTATTCAGCGGAAATCGAATTTTGAAATATTTAAATCACTTACTCATCGCGTGTATTTTAGTAACAATGGTCATGAAGATCTGTTAACAATTCGATCTCATCAGACATCATTGAATCGAACTTGCGTACCTGATTTGTGTCGTATTACAATCCAAAATTCTGCATATGTTCAAGGAGTATTACACTATTTCGAAGATATCTATCGATGCGAACAACTTGACGGGGTGGGGTGTGAGTGTGGGTGTTTTCTTCTTCACACTGGCACATACCTACACCCACACATCACACTCGCACTAGCTAAATAACTCGTCGACCGATTTGAACTAATGGATCTGTTATCACCTACGACTCATCCTGAAAGGTTTGTTGAAGAATCATCTCATTTTTCTGATTTGTATACGGACGCCTAATGGTAACTAGCCCTCGAAAAAGTTGCTGTCAATTCATTTGGATGCTCATTATTTGAAACGAACGATAAGCTGTACTGTGTTAAATTATATCCGAGAACGTCATTATTCGATCATAGTTGCTTGCCGAATATAAGGATTTTTATCGACGGACGTGTTTCCAAAAACACACGACACAAACCAGCTATTTTCGTTATAGAATAGGTAACAGCAAAAGGATAATTGTTGAATAGCGCATCGACGACCTAATCTTGAAGCAATAAAGGGTGTATACTAAGTTCTGAGTCCTTCTTCCAATAAATTATTGGAAAAAGGACTCAGAACTTAGTATACACCCTTTATGTGGTGTCTTTACGTGGCATCAAGAAAGGTGAACTTTTCCCTTCTGATAGCAGTTGCGAGAGTTTGATACCTTCTTCATAACGATGCCATTCGAATGAAATCCGATCAATTTTTATATTAGTTTTTATCGCTCTCAGTTTCGAAATCATGACAAATTTCTGTCTATTGTGCGCAAAAAAGAGGACTTTTCACAGTTTCTGGTTTCAAAACTGCTGCTAATTGCAGTATGGAATATTTTGGATCCGGTAACTGAGCCAAGTATACGAGTATCTTTGATGTTGAAAATTTAACATGATCTTTGAATAAATTCAAGACTAAAATTTGTTTCAAGGAACAAAAGTAATTAAAACCAAGCAGTGAATATGAAACAACGTTAGATCATTGAAAAATTGTTAAAAATTCTAATAATTACTGTGTGTTTTCTAAATTATTGTCACCTTTTCACATGTTTGGCAGAACGCTTGCTGTAGGCAAAGTTTTGTGTTTTTGTTTTTTCATCAAATTTGTAGCTGACGTGTTCTTGTCAACTTTAGTTAAATATTCGTCAATCGGCAAATCTTGGCATGTACCAGCTTCAGAAGAAGGATAACTCGTATCGATTGTAGCAATTAATTTGAGTTGGTGATTGTGCAGAGCTTGAAGAAAAGTGTGACTATCATTATGTGAAAGACGATGAATATCACTAAGTGATACTTCGACACAAGCATAACCCAAACGATGTATTTCAGCAAACACAAGATTAATACCGACTGAAAACCGAGCCTCAGCATCCCATATAGCACGAAAGATTTTTCAGTTCAGGTACGGACATCTTTTGTTTTGGTTTATCTGACAAGAGTTGTCAATGAGATGAAGTAATATTTTATTCAACAACTTTTATCACATGCATAAGCAGGCTAAATAAGGAACAAAAAATGATGGTTGTCGAAGAAGATAAGATTTGTTTATAATTCTTCTTTTGAATCCTCGAATACCGTTGAATCAATAAACGGATAATGATATTGACGCTAAATTGTGAATCCGAAATAACCGATATTCATCGGGAGTTGACTCTTCAATGTTGGTGTTATTGAAAAAATTATTATCCAGATAAACGACTCCACTTATAAACTATCATTATATTAGGTCTTATTCACAAGAAACCATTTTGAGTTCCATTCAATGTATGCCACAATTATTGTTTAGGATTGTGCGCAATTTTATATTGAAGCTAAAGAATCAGAGTTGTACTCGTCTTCGTTATTAACTATGATTCATACGTATAGGTGGCGTTTTTCAGGCAGAACTTCATACAAACGCATGCCTCTCTTTTTTTTCTGTTCTTCGGCTTAGTCTGTTCTTTACCGTTGCATCATTCTCTTGGTGAGTCCTCTTTGTGTTTCTTTAATGAGAAATCCGACGATTCGTCGTCTTCATCCGTTCTATTTTCTTCAAACCGTTGACAAGCATCTGCTGCGGGCCGTTGCTTAGTGAGGCATCGAAGTTGGATGAATGCATAACATCAATAACAAGAGAATAAGAAGAAAAACTAGCAGTCATTTATCGAAAAACATTTTTTTCTTCTGTTCTGTTTTATTCTCTTAGCAACATCTCAAACTTGAATCTCATTATTATTCAGCAAGAAAATTAAAAAAAAAATATTCGATCGTCATTCAACCATTCGTTGAGCAACATGTGATTTTTAACCTTCAGAACAGATCATTCTCCATAACTAGATCGTAGTCAGAGATCACTCAGCTAAAGTTAAAACTCATCGATTTATCATTGTCTTTGCTTGATTCTGTAGACAACCATATGCATCCAACGGTGATTTATCGAAGTAGTTCACCTGTGACGACACCAACATATATCTACGTTGGTCCTCATCAATCTTCAATATCGTCTGGATCTCCTTACAGAATATTCGTGGAAACTAACAATCAAAGTGACACTGTACTCGCGGATACTCAAACCATTCGTCGCGAATTGACTAAAATCAAGAAGGACATTAAAGAATTGAAACAAAAGCAAACATCGCCAAATTACTATTTTATTCAGCAAGACTTCCCCAATGATGCTTGTCCAATTTGTAACACATCATCAAAACCTGAATCCAGTTCGATTTATTATTGTGATCAATGTCACGGTTTTGTCGAAGGTCGAGTCACTCCTATGCAACCAACAATTCGAACAAAGACTCCTACTACTACCTATCAGGATAGCTATGTACGAGTACCATCATCTTCTTCAGGACACTCGCACTATGCAATATATAGAGAACAACCAAAGACATCCGACAAGCCGAGGAATCAATCTGTATTCTCACCATCACCTGCTTTACATAGCAGACCTTGGATACCAGCAGCATCCAAAAATGCTTATCCGAATCGACGTTGGTATTTTCATGAATCACATCCTGAACCGTAAAATAACGATCTTGGACGATACTCATACTCTCGATCTGTTTTTAGAAGTCTAAATGTGAATGTAATATTTAATGGAATTAATGGCGAATGAAATAGGAAAAAAATCTTGTGCTATTAATAAGATAGTAAAAATACGATTAGCAGGTTTGAGCCCAGCATTTAACTCATTACTATATAGAATTCAAACGAGAAATTAGTTTTAGAATTGTTTCGAAATGCCTCTTCCGAGTAAAAAAATGATTAAGACGTTAAAAAGATTGGATCATTCGTCAACAAAACTACGCGTTAATTTTGTAAAGATAGTGCAATCTTTGGGCGAAAGCAAGATAAATCTTTTGTCTCTGTTGGAACGAAATTTTTTTCTAGTACAGTAAAACCTCTATTATTGAACACCTCTCTAAAGTGAACACCTCCATACAGTGAACGTTTTTCTTCAGTCCCGATGGTGTTCACAATACAGAGGTTTTACTGCAATTGTTTCCTTGAGTTATCGTTCTCTTGGACACCTTATTACAATGACTTGAGAATTCGAGAAAAATTCAGTGTGAAATAGATGGAAACCATATTTATTTTTCTAGAAGCGCACCAAAATTTGTTACGCAGCACTTAATTACTCAGCAATAAGTCAAAAGGAGGTTTATTTAAAAGTCCTATCATTTGGATGTGGATGTGGGTGATAGTCTCTCATCTACACCGACAGCCACACACCCACACCAACACCCACACCCACACCCACCCATACCCACACCCTTTTTTAATACATTATCATCCACTGACGGATACAAATAAATGTTTTATGGAACATACAAGATGAGAAAAAAATTCTTTTTTTAACTTTTTATTTATTCGATTATTTTTTTTTCATCAATCGTCGCTTAGCCAATTTACCACCATTTTTTTTGCACCAAAAATTTATTAATAGAATGTGTATGATATTTTCCTCATTAGTATTTATTGACTTGTTTATCTTTATCTTTATTTTCACTCTTGTCATCTTCATAATCTTCGTTCATTGGAACAGTAACAGCCACAGCATTTGAGCTTGCTGTTGATGCACTATACATCACCATCATATTATTATTCTATTTAAAAAGAATTTTAAATGATTTTTTTGTTGTTTTTCTCTTACCATTTCATCGTGTTCAGAAGATCTTGTTTTATCACTTTTACAACCAGTCCCATCATATACTATCAATAAAATATCGCCCGTCGAGACCTCTATAAAGAATATATTTAAATTTAATAATTAAACAAATTAAGTTTACTATTTTTTTTTGTTTTACGTTTTGCTTTCTTAACAACTGCTTTATTCACTTTTCCACCACCATTTGAACCTTGTCTTCAGTAGCAGCAATGTCTCGTTGTAAACTTCTTATTTCATCACTTATTTTCAACATCATTTCAACTTTTCTTCAAACAGTTCTTTCAGCTTATTAAGTTCAATACGATAAAGATTTTCATCAACTTCCTGGGGTTTATTAGCGTTATTCATCGTCAGTAGAACCCAGGACGAGCATACGACAGTCGTAAACGGTCATTTACGGTCGTATACATAGTAAATTACGATCGTATAACACTTTATTCCGCCGTATTACTTGCCGCCAGAATTACGACCGTAAATCGTCGTGTCGTATACGGCGAGGGTGGGGTGCGTGTGGTTGTGGTGTGAGTGTTGTGTATCTATTTCGCGTATACGCAGATCCCAACACACGAATACATTCACATCCACACCCACACCCACGCCATCAAATAGCGAATTAACTATATAATAGAAATATTAGTTGTAGATCCAATCTAAAGCATAGTATACCATACTAATGATCGAGTCAACATAAAAAATAAATTAATAAGGATGTGGATTCATACAATAATTACACCTATATCCCAATCTGTGATGAATCTTATTGTTGAATATCTCAACGTGGGAAGAGTTGTACTAAAGTCGAAAAACTAGAAGTCAAATCGTGTAAGATTCAATAAAATCTTACCCTTATAAGGTTTTTCCTATGCTCTTGTTACAACATCGGACAATATCCCATGTGTTCATTTTTTTAAAGATGTCCTCAGATTTTGATTGTACGGTGTCAGTAAATAACCGTACAAGATTCAAAGATTAAGACAATTATAAGGACAGACTGAATGTTTCTTGTCAGATCTTTTCAGATCATATAAGATCCAAAAAAAAAAACATACACGGCACATAATGTAGATCTTGCCTATTATTATCTGATCGTGTATGGTCTGTCCTGTTCTTTCACTTATTCGAGAATAGTTGATCCCATCAGCTTTTCAATGAAGAACAGTACCTGGAAAAAAGGATCAAGCAGTGTACCTCATTTGTTTTCTTCTTTTTCTATACTAATAGTGTAAAAAATGGTTATTTTTATTTCTCATCTTTCTATATTAACAGTATACAAAACGGTTACTTGTGTTCCTTTTTTTTCTGTGGTGATAAAATAGTAAATCCTGTTTATTTTTTATTTTTCTACATTGATAATATAGAAAATTTTAATTTTAATTTCTTAATTTTTTATACAGATAACATAGATAATAGTTTGTTTTTTTCTTATTTTTCTGCATTAATAATATAAAAATTCTAATTTTTATTTCTTGTTTTTCTACATTGGTAATATAGATAACAGTTTGTTTTAATATCTTAGTTTTCTATGTTGGTAACATAGATCCTTTTTTTATTTTTCTATTATTATCAATATAGAAAAATAAGAATTAAAACTAACTGATATTTATATTATCAATATAAATAAGTAAAAATTAAAAACTAAGATTTTCTACAATATTAATATAGAAAAATGAGAAATAAAAATTGATTTTTCTATATTACCAATATAGAAGAATAAAAAATGAAAATAAAGATTTTCTATATTAATGATATAGAAACATAAGAAATGAAAGTAACCGTTGTCTATATTATCAATACAGAACAATAAAAGATAAAAATTAAGATTTTCTATTATCGCTATAGAGAAATCAAAAATAAAAATTGGAATTTTCTATATTGTCAATATAAAAAATCAAAAATAATAAATAAGATTTTCTAAACTACCAATTTAGGAAAACAAGAAATGAAAATTAAGATTCTTATACTATTGATATAGAAAAATAACAAATAAAAGTAATTGTTATCTATTTTGCGAATATAGAAAAATAAGAAATAAAACTCACTGTTATCTATATTACCAATATAGAAATATAAAAATTAAAACTAATCGTTATTTATATTATCAATATAGAAAAATGAGATGTAAAAATGGGACTCTCCATATTGTCAAAATAGAGAAAGAAGGAATAAAAATGGGAATTTCTAAACTACCAATATAAAAAATGAAAAATAATATGAATAGGATTTTATATAATATCAAATATAGAAAAATAAAACGTAAAAATTAAGATTTTCTATAGTATCACTATAGAAAAGTAAAAAATGAAAATTAGGATTTTCAATTCTATTAAATATAGAAAGATTAAAATTAAATTACCATTTCCTATGCTATCAGTTTAGGAAGATAAGAAATGAAAATTCAAATTTTCTATATTACTAATATAGAAAAATAAGAAATGAAAGTGAAGATTTTCTATATAATCAAAAGAGACAAATACGAGAACAAATTATGTGCACCGCTTAGTCCTGTTTTTTAGCCACGAGTCTTCATAGTAAAACTAATCAAATCAACAATTCTCGAATAAGTTAAAGAACAGAAGAGACCATACACCATCAGGTAAGAACAGACAAGATCTACATAATGTACTGTCGTATGTTTCTTTTTACATGAATCTTATATGATCTGGCAAGATCTGAGGAGAAAAATTCTGCCTGTACTAATATGGGTCTTAATCTTTAAATCTTGTAAGATTTTTGCTAACATCTTATGGTCAGAATCTGAGATAATCTTTAAAAAAGTGAATACATACGAAATCATATGCTCTTGTGACAAACTCATAGAGAAAATCTTATAAGTGTAAGATCTTTTTTGAGTCTTGCATGATCTGACGTCAAGTTTTTAACCTGGGAATTTACGACTAACTTACGATCATACACGGTCGTATACTACACTCGTATAGGACGACAGTATACGATGACTGCTCCTGACGTATTTCTTCGTATACGACCGTTTACGATCGTGCGTTTTCGACATGGAAATGGACAAAAGTGAAGAAAAGCAGTTATATATATATATATATATTACTACCTAGACAAAGATACTATCGAAGGGACCAAACAGAAAATTCTAGAAAAAAAATCTAGAAGATGGATAGCGAGCGAAAGGGGAAGAACGTCGACAGAGAAACAGAATGAACAAAGATGACATCAAGCCAATTTTGTTTTGGACTTTATTAGGAAAACTGATGACATGGAGGGGAGAGGGGTCCAAAATTAGCAAGAAAATAATGACGTAATACTTGAATAACGCCAAAACGAAAAATATAATGAATAGTCGACTACAATATACATCTCTATTTCGATGAATTGTTCTAGAATATTCTTAGAAACACATATAGTTCACAATGATGCAAATGAAATGTACCGAGTGATATACGATAATAAATATGACGAATCCATTTTACTTTATGATGAGAAAAGATATTAATTCTCATAATATGCAAACAATCCAAAAGGAAAATATTCTCAAATAAAAAATTGATCGTAAAAACAAGGAATAACTGTATCAAATACTTGTTTTAGTTACAGTCGATGATGAAAAAAATCCGTTGGATGCATCATTATCATATTGATTAAATAAAAGTGGTCGTTTAACGATTTCAATACTTTCAATAATAGATGTATGATATTCAACAGATGATGTAGTTTTTGTTGCAATATCAATTTTTTTCTCCTTTGATGTTGGTAAATACATATTAAGAATTGCTGAAGAAGAAAGTGCATTAGGTGCTGATGAATCGGATTGTAATCGAATTTTTCTTGGTGGTGATGGTGTAGAAAATATCTATTGATTAATTGGTGTTGATGTTAATGAAAATAGGATAGAACGAACAGCATTTTCTTTACTCCAAATTGATTAAAGATGCGCTGGAATAAATGATGATGATGATCCAGGTGAACGATACTATTCAAAGATATTCTTTCAACGAAAACAATTAAATAATTATTTACTTTCCATTTACTTGGATGAAAATTACCAACTATACGTTTTGTTTTTACATTTAAATTCCTAATTGCATGTTGAAAAGCAAATGATGTATGATCACATCTAAAAAATAAAGATATCTTTTTGAGAATTTTATTGTTTTTTCTTACTGTCCAACAAATTTTAATTGATCATAATCAGCATCATCTGCTATTGGATTAAGTGGTACTTGTTTTCATTGTATACGACCATAAACAATTTCATGAAGAAATGCTAAATGCACTCATTTGAAACCTATGATATAATTATTTGTTACATGAAGATTTAATTTACTAAGATTTTGTGGAAATTGTTTAAGAATATATTTAACGAAAAAACAGAACAACAATGAGCCATGTTCACATTTCGCTTATAAGTCACCCGACAGCAAAAATAGTTCCTAAAGAGTTAGTTAATTATGTTACTGAAAACGGCTCTTCTCTTTCTGTTCTCTTCTTTCTCTCTCTCTTCTCTTGCCTTGCACAGAAGTTGTTCGTCATCGGCATCGTGCCGCTTCATTGCTTTCAACTTGTTTGTCTTTGATGTGTGCTAAGCTTATGTGCAACATTGATTACATTGAAAAGTAAAGATATCTACTCTTCCTCTATATTTGAATAAGATAAAAAACAAGTGAAATGATATTTTTTTTCAAGAAACATTTTAAAAATCAATACATGAAGATATTGGCGCTACTGTCTATTCAGCTCATATTGAGCCTTTTGTCTCTGCTCGCATTGAGACAATATTTTGTTACATATAAGTGACTTAATGACAATAGTTATAAGATAACTTTCTTGAAACAATATTATTTCACTTGTTTTTTATCTTGTTCAAATATAGAGGAAGAGTAGATATCTTTACTTTTCAATGTAATCAATATTGTAGATAAGCTTAGCACATATCAAAGACAAAAAAGTTGAAAGCAATGAAGTGGTACGATGTCGATGACGAACAACTTCTGTGCAAGGCAAGAAAAGAGAGAGAGAGAAAGAGAAGAGAAGCAAGATCAAAAGAGAAGAGCCATCTTCAGTTACATAATTATCTCTCTCTTTAGGTACTATTTTTGCTGTCGGGTGACTTATAAGCGAAATGTGAACATAGCTCATTGGAATAATATTCTATGACAATTACTAATCCAATATTTGTTATTTGTGTTCTGCTGAATTTATTTTTGCTTTAGCTAAATCAATTCCAGTTATATTATCAAGAGGAAGGTGTGGGTATGGGTGCAGAGTGGGAACCTTTACCATTAGCAGGCGGACATGCGGTTTTTTGCTCACAATTGGCTTTCATTTTACTAGTAATGACAGTATATCACTCAGAAAATCGTTTTTAAGAAAATAAAAGGGTTTTTCAAGAAAAAACTTCTTCGACAAAATATGGCTGGGGGGGGGGGGGCACCCAGCCTTTTTTTTCAAACAATGTTTTTGGTAAAAGCATGTTGAGCTACATGTAATTCGATGTAGTTTAATGCGCTGATTTTGAATATGACCTTAGTTTTCCTTCAAAATGTAGCATGAATGTCTAAAACCAAATTTTCGCTCGAAAACCTCGGATTTTTGGGCACCCTCTAAAACAGCCTAGGAAATATTTCAAGAGTTGACGCTACTACAGTAATTAGAATACATATAAAGGGTGGCCGCGAACTCCTGTCTCGATTTGAATAATACGTTTTTCTTTAACAAAATATGCGATTCAAAATTTTTCTTTTTAACGAAAAGATGCAATAAAAGACGCTCTACAGAATGGTTTTTGATTGACCCCGCTAGCTCATATAATAAGAAAGTTATAGGCTTGGGAATGTGCTTCACGAAAAAGAAAAATAAACGGTGAATTGAATCTTGGTATTTTTGCTTGCACTCCTGTACTTTAGATCCCTTAGAGCGAATTCTTTTTTAATAGACGCGTCTTGAAATTCTCTACAAAATCATACTTAAACTTTTATTTCAGAACTCCAATCAAGAAAACTAAGTAAATTATAAACGAGGCGCAAAAAGATGAAAACTTTGTAAATTCGGAATTTTTTGCGACTTGAACTTTTTCTTCTTCTATTATTTTCATGAAAAGCTTAGAAAAAGTGATAACTCAGTTTGTGTTTAATACTTTTGAATGCACTCTTTCTCGTTTTCTCTAAAAGAGAGTTTTTAGAGCGGATGATGTGCCCGAGAATGAAGTTTCAAAAGTTGAAAAACTTCAATTTCAACAATGTGCCCAAGTAAGAAGCAGAAAACGTGATCGAAGTTTGATTTTGCAGTTAGACAGAGGAAAGCAATCATTTCAGATTAAAACAGAACGAACCCGATCGAAGAGTCTTTTGTTTTGATGTAGTTGCGAAACTTTCAATGAAAGATCCAACATACGAAGAAAGTTCATAGTTAATTTTTCTTTTTCGTAAAGTACATTGCCAAGCCTATAATTTTCTTACTATATGAGCTATCGAAGTCAATTAAAAGCCATTTTGTAAAGCGTCTTTTACTGCGTCTTTTCGTTAAAAGAAAAATTTTGAATCGCGTATTTTGTTAAAGAAAAACGTATTATTCAAATCGAGACAGGACTTCGCGGCCACCCTTTATACATGTATCTGGTAAAATTCACGCTCGATCAGACGTTATCTCTTTGCAGGGTTTTCAAAATACGGCACAGCACGTTTTTAGGTAGGGTTTCCGTACAAAGACTCGTGGTTTTCAACCTTACTTTAAATTGGATTACAATAATTTTCTTTAACAAAGTCCATAGGTGAGCAAGTTTTTCGCGATATTGGTTGTGTGTGGAATATCATGTTATCTTACCGAGTGGCTTGACTTTCTTTATTTTTGCCGTTTTCTGGGTCCAAGCCTTGTCAGGCTCTTTTCTAGAGCTTTTAGAACTTTGAGAACCGCTATTTTAGGAAATGGTGGATCACATATGTATGTACCTACGCAAATGGTTAGATTGTGAAAAAGAATATTTTCGCATATGTTCGCCTGGCTCCCACTGTGACCCACGCCCACCCACACCCATACCACCACATCCACCACACCCACCTACCCAAACCCATCCACACCCCTAATTTGTAGGGAAAATGCTCATATGCGATGCACTGACACATATTGAACTATGAAAATTATATATACATATGTATAATCGTCGTCTTGGTTTTGGTGTATGAGTTTGAAAAATAGATGTTATAAAGAGAGACATTAAAAGCAGACTTAAATACACCTGACTCAGTCTTAAGATTGAAGTTTGTTACATATTAGACTAAACGAACCTCATCTCATTTTTTTCTAAGTTATCAGTACTTTGTTGGGCCAAAATTTTTTTTGGCCCATCAATAAAAATCTTGTTCATGTTGCCCATCGTTTTTTTCTGACACAAGCGAAGTTTGCCCATTGTTCTAAAAATCCTGGTTACGCCACTGTATACGTAGGCTACATATACAAGAACATGGAGAATGTAAAAGCGCTCCAATCTATTATTTTACTGGATGTGATGTGTGTAATCTTGATCACGTTCAATAGATAAATTTCTGTTAAGCATAAAGACACGAAAATCTTGTAAAAAAAACAAAACGTAAAAGAAAATTCAGTGTGTATGGCGTATACGTTATTTTTTCCTTCAGCGTGTAAAACAGTGTGTAAATTCTGTTTCATTAGAGTACCGTACACTTTATTTTGCAAGGTACACTCTTTCATTAAAAATACTGGTGATGGTACAGTATTGGTGAGAAATTTTCTCGTTTATCAATAGTAATGAGAAATTTATGCGTTTATTATAAAAGAGCGTAATGCTAATTAGAATTGAATGAAATTTTTTTTTAATATTTGGTTACGCTGGGCCGCCATGTCCATGTTTTCATCCTCTATGGTAGTGTGTTTGATCCGTCTTTTTTCGGACCGGTGAATTGACGACTAATAGAATTTTTTCTCTCGTTATGATAATTCGTCGTGTTGTGGTAGCTTCTCATCGATGAAACCAATTCGGATAAATTACTGTTCGATATAAAGGGAAGAGAGACTGTTGAATCTAGAGATACAAAAAGTTTTCAACATATGTAAAATACGATAGTCAGACATTTCCAAATTACTCAATGGTCAAAATTTGACTTTAAAAGAGTATAAAAGCACATACTTGTCATATTTGTCGTGTTCTTAATGGTAGATTTCAATCCGAAAACAGAGCCGAGAATGACTGCCACGACGCACACAGCCGTCAAGAAAAAGATTGGAAGCAAAAATCTCTTCTTGCGATACCAATGACGCCTTGATAATTTGATGAGAAGTCCCATCAAAATACAATTAGATAAAGAAATCATGAGACTTACTTAATTGTTGGATAAAGACATGCACCTAAATATAGATATATTTCTATCATAATCGAATCATTAAAAATCTTCAAGATACCTTCGAATGGAGGCTCAAGTAGTATTTCTTCTGGTATCTTCTGTTGCAAATGAACAATGTGGAGACCAGGAGCCGGACTGTGTTGTGCTTGTACTTGAACATATGTTCCTGGTAGCAGTATAATTTCATCATCGGTTCCATATTGTGAATGATCACGTATACGTCTACCGTTGAAGACTTCGATAGAGAGAAGAGTTCTCTCACCCTCATTACCCAAATAGGCATCACTCTCTAACACAATGAGGCTTGTTGTACACGATGAAAAAGCCCTCAATGTCAATTGAGTTCCAGTCAGAAATTCGTGACTAATATTTGTTGGTATTCCACGCCAGACGGTCTGCGGCGGTACACAAGGTATTTTAGTCAAGGCAGTAAGAAAAAGTTTGAGGTATTTGAACCACTTTCGTAGGTCTTCGACATTAGCTCTCCTGAGGGTTTGATTGAGACTCCAAGAGAGACTTTCGTGTGCATCAGGCCATTTCATCGTGTAAAGACGAATCGAAGCTGATTCATCGCGAGTCAGACCATCGGCTGGATATTTTGGAGTATTTTCTAAGGCAACTGTAACATAGGTAAATATATCATAAATAATGTCGGCCAACGATGCACATGCATCAGCCAAAGGTAGAAGTGGCTCTTGAGCATAACCAATAATAGGATTAAGTGTTTGACAACCTTCGGAATCGTCAAGAAGTGGGCGAAAATTTTCACGACGAACATCTATTTCATGTGGCTCACTCATCGTGTCAGATGATCGTTTTGTTTATAAATATGTGTATATATTCAATACTTCGAACGTATTGTTGTTATCTAGAAGACGAAAAAAGACATAAAAGTATTTAAAAAAAAAAGAAATATTGAAAGATTATCGCTGCAATGGATCGAGGAAAACCATTTGTGTTAGAAGTAATTTCTTTGTCAGTGCCGGATACTAAAAATCGGGTGTGGGTGTGGGTGGATGAAGGTGAGTGTCCTGATCCACATACCCACACCAATCCTATTTGCCGTAGCTTTATCGGTCTGTGAGCATGATAGGCATGAGAAAAAAATTGCTCGATACTTTTTTTCTCTTCTTTCAAAAACAACATATCAGTAAAGAACGATAAAAAGAGAGAAAAAAAATACTACTCACTATAATTATTCTGTTTAGTGATCATCGATTCTGCTTGATATGGTGAAATTTATCAAAATAGACGTATCATTTCTGTGATAAGTGTCTCTGTCAACCGACGATGACTCTTTTCTCTCTTTTTCTGTGATGAAGTAGCGATAGGAAGTTGAATTTCAGGATAATCAAATTTCTTCTCGTCATCATCGGATGTCTGGACAAAGAATTCAACCTATGTAAACCGTAAATGAACAATATCTGACGAAAAAATCAATTTGCTTATCATTTCAATTGATGAAGCTTCATATTTAACTCATGTTACAGTGGCAATACTAAGCTTTTCGCCAGCATTCGATGGCTTCTTATTGCCATATTCATTGTGAGAGAACTTATTCCTAAATGAGAGATCATCTAAAATATAATTTCCAAAATGCATCAATATTTTGAATCGACTAATACAAGGAAAATCGTCTCGAATGCTCGTAAATATTTTGCTAAATATATCATTATTGCTGATGTGTTACATGTATATGTGCATTTTTGCTTACCTGTACATACAAAAGAAAAATAATGCATGGGAAAGAATACAGGTGAATATGTGTGTAGTTTTCTTTTTCTCCTTTCCTTCACCATATATATGTACATTCATGGTTGTCACTGCAAATTCCAATTAAAGCAGCGCACATGGTGTGTGCTGTGTCCAATTCGTCACAAATATCATCAAATTATTAAAAGGCGTGGGTATGAGTGTGTGATTCTCTGCTTATATCCACACTCACAGCCACATCCACACCCGGAAAATAATGAACAAGAAAACGACGTAGTACAGAAGATGTCATGTCTAGAAGATCTAAAGAACGAAAAGTCTTCGGAATTAATGATTGAATGAGATAGTTTAGTATTGAAATCAAATAGAAACAAAGTCAATAGAAGGAATGAGTATTTTGTATATCCTTCATTCTTCGATATCCTCAATATATGATATTACTGAAAAAAATGAATATTTCATTAATAATAGTATCAACTTCTGGAATATAATTGAAATATTAAAAGTTTTGGAAAGAAAAATAAAAAAGCAAAAGTTTATTTAAATTGAATCCAGTCAATTAAAGTATGAAATGGACATTTACAAAAATTATTTTCTAATTCTTTTACTTTTCTGTTTGATTTTATTCATTAGAACAATTTAAGAAGTTTATAGTGATTTATATTAATGCCTAGCTTACTAAGAAATTAGTGAAACTTGATGCGTATTGAAATATTAATGAAAAAAATATATAGATCAGAATAAAAACAATTAATGTAATAAATGTTTCTCGATCGATGTATAAATCTAAAAAAAATAAAATAAAATAAATGACTCAAAATAAATTAATCATGCTCAAGTGACATTCATTAAGATGTACGTGGAACTTACCATTGTAAGCGACTTGAAAGCTACGTGAGTTTTCGTACATTGTAGTGCTGCGAAGCATATTTTGTCTTCATCACTTATCGGTGATGTGATCGTGAGCATTTTGAAAAACAAAAACATTTGCTTCAAAAATTCATCTATCTGTCTTGCTATGTAGTATGTTAATAGTTGATATAAATGCATTAATAGATATACACACATACAGAGACATCTGATATTAAAGCAATAATCAAACTCAATCGAGTTCTCAACTTTTTTTATGCATTCGTTATTCATAGTTAAAGAATTTTAGTATATTTCAGTGGACTGAATATGACTTTCCTTGATAAATTTAAATGTTCATTCACTTTCTACGTGTGTAGAGCGTTTCAATACTGCTTTCCTATTGATGGGTTTTCGCATCTTTTGTAAATATACAGCAAACAAAAGAAAAGAAAGAAAAGAAAAAATTAATCGGTCATTTTATGCAATGAACAATCAGTTAATTTTTCTGGTTTCATTCATTTTATCATTTAAAGACAGAGTAACGAGAGATATGATATCTTTTAATTTTCGCAGTTTTTTAACAGATGCTAGGCGATATGACCCATCGATGGATCATGGCAAAAAAAAATGAATATCGCTACTCTGTTTTAACTAAATGAGCTGATTTTTTTGTCAGTGATATAAGAATGTTTAAAGTTTTTATTCATAAGACAAATGTCAATATAAGCCATATTTAAGGTACTACAATTGACTTTTTAGGAAGAAAAAGTAACCTTCTGCAATTTTCGAGGTCAATTTTCTTTCTTGCAGGACAGTATTTATTAATGTTTCTCTCTTATGAATAAAGAATTTACTTAGTCATCTATTTTTCTACAAAAAAAGGACCTCATTTCGTTAAAATACAGTGGAGACATTCATATTATTTTGTCGTGGCCCACCAATAAGTCGTATCGTTTCGAATTGGCTGCTTATCATTTCCTATCACTTTTAAATGAGTTAATTTTTTTCTGGTGATAGAGAAGAGTTATAAGTTTTTATTTATGAGCAAAAAGTTTAGTGTACACCGCTGAAAATGATTTCCATCTATTTAAAAGTAAAACATTTACAGTTTCTGTCAAAAAGATAAACGACGGATATCTAGTTTTTCCGACATATCATAGGATCCTTCCCGATATTCTTGCATAGAAAATACTGAAGAACTCAGACGACTAAAATTAACTTTTGGTATGGTATTTCTATGGAGAACCAACCACAAAAAACACAAAGATATTCAACAGCTCTGCAAAATGGAATAGACAAAAACGTTTTTTTTTGGCATTTTTCTTTTTTGTGGTTAACTACTGATGTAAATACTAGGAAGCAAATAGATTATGCTAGATTTTAAGTGTATCAATAAGCTGCTGATTTATGAATAAAAACTTAAAACTTTCTTCTATCATCAGGAAAAAAATTAGCTTATTTGATTGAAATACGACGGAGATAGGCATTTTTTTGGTAGGTGAATTTCAAGGCATCCTATATATGAATTGTTTTTATTTTCCGAATACATGTTGATTTATAATAAACTTTTCGAATTGTATTCTGTGAATGTTTGAACTGTTATTAGATGTTTTTCTTCTTCGAAATAAAAAAAAAATATTATTTTAACTTTGAGTCTAACACAATATTATATTTTCTAAGTTGAGGTGCATGTATTTCTCAGTACTTTTAACTACCTTGATCAGATAAAACTAGCCAGATAAGAGGAGCTTAGTAGGTAAAAGTCTTTTGAAAAAGTATCAGCTATGTTGTATCGCTTCGAATTATAAATTCTTGAATTTATAAATCACATCTATTCACGCTCCGACAGCGGCAAAAATGAGGTTTTTGAGAGTATAATTAGTTTTAGCATATTTCTAACGGCTAGTAAGTGGCTGCAACTTGATATGCAACCACTGTCTAGCTACACAAAACTTGCCAAAAACAACCTTAGATCACCTAGGAGGATGTGAGTGAACATTTTCTCCAATGACTCCTACACCCACACCCACATCCGAGCTTTTGAATACGTTTTGGGCGGGGGCGAAGGTGAGTGTAGGTAAGTGTTTCACAAGAGACGATCATACCACTCGCTCTTACAGCTATCCATCCATATCCACATTCAGATATATGAAATTTCTTTATATCTTTGAAGAAGTATACTTTTATAGAAACATCAGTATAATTGATTATTCGGCTTCTACTCGTCATATGCACCGTAAACACATAGCAGTGGGTTTCATAAGTCATTGCAAGACTGTTCGAACTCTGTTTGCTCAAGCTTTATGACTATCAATCATTCTTTTCGTAATGTGAATCGAGCATATGGCTCAGAACAAATCAGCAGCTATTGATAATATTTTATCGCTGTGTCTCAAACCCAAAGCAGTAAAGAAAGACAATATAATTTATTGATACATTCTTTCTAGCCTTTTTCTTTAATTATCACAGACCTATTTCTGAGTATGCCTCAGTTTTCATTCCGAGTATTGTCTGTAGTATTTATACTTGGCTTCGTGGTGATAAGTCAAAATTGTTGTGATTCGACAAGCATCGATGGTATTTGGTTTGGTCTGGTCAATCAAATCAATCCTAGCAAGGTATTTGATACTACAATTATAATCTATTCGAAAAATTCCATCTATAAAATTGAGTATGGACTAAATGGTAACTTATATTATTGTGGAGGATATTGGATACAGAGCTCTGGCGCTGTATTCCAAGAAAAAAGTAGATATGGACCTTGTATTGATGGTTTGGTTGATTTCACTCCATATTCTAACGGAACCGCATTCTTTCGATGGTGGAATAATGGACCTGTTGAAGCAAGCGGATGGTTCACTCGTATAACCAGTTTATGTCGCTGAAGAAAGCGAAATTTATTCAGCTATACTTTTTCGTGTGCCTATAATTTTTATACGAAAATAAAACGGTTCAAACTACGCAAAAAAAATGCCTTAATACTGTTTTCTTCATTCGTAATCGTCCTAGAGCTCTGGAACCGTTTGTGTAACGGTAAACCAAATTGTCTCGGTGGGTTGAAATTACATCTTTAAGCGATTATTTTTCGATGGAAACAGATAGAAAAAGTTTTTTTCACAATATCTGTGAGATTCCAAAATGAAAAACGACAGAAAAATTCTATTGAGACGTGGTTATAGTGTTAGCGAAGTGTGGGTGTGTGTGATTTAAGCTCACAAATAGAACCAATCGCATGCTTCACATCTGATTATAGATAGGATACATGAAGGCGATGATCGGCTGAAAACTCATGGATAGAAGCATGAATAGCATAAGTAAACAGAAACAATGAAGAATGATTAGTCGCGCAGCAAGTGTCAATGGTCTCTACATCAACAGCAAGAATCATAATGCAGAAAAACACTAAATTACAGAATAAAGTGATTATATACGACACTCATACGAAAATTTTACCATTATGAACAAAGATATGCATGAAATGTTATTGTGAAGTTTTTAAAAGGTCATAGCCTAGATCCTGTACGACTAATTGATTAACATCAAAACAGGGTGTGTGGGTGGATATGAGTGGATGTAGATGAGTGTGGGGTGTGGATGTTGCTGTCTTCTTAGACCTGCACTCACACAGTCTGCATACTCACACCCTCGCAACATCCATTTTGTGATGATTCAGCGTTACATTAATTGCTGATTCAACAATATTAATAACTGACGCATCATCTCATCAAAGATAAGATAAATCATCACGTATCTCAGCTGCTCGAGAATTAACTTAAACTGAACACCGCCATATTAACGATCTATGTATTGCTGCCAATGAATTTATTAAACCATTATGTAATTGTTGACTTTTAAGTGATTACGAAATTGAACAATTATTCAGTAAATGATTTATTTTAATTGCATGTAATACTGTTTTTTTCTATCGGCATTACAATAACAACTACAATATAGAGAACATATAGTCACATCAAATACTGATATAGCTATTCGAACACCTCGTTTAGTATCTATGTCAAATATTGCAATAATTGCAGAAGTTAATATTAATACTTTGCAACATACATACATTGTTTTTTCTTTTCATTCATTTTCAAGTGCCAATTAGCTATGTTGACAATAAACGCTCTCAGCCATTGATTCCTCAAATATGTGATTCACCTCCTATTCGTCAATTAAAATATCATAGTGGAACTGGACATATTTATCGTTCTCCAGCAGCTAATGATTTAACAGTAATATGTCTAATTAGTATTGAACGTTCAGATGATAATATTGTTCTTCAATCAACTTACTCATTATCAACTATGACAATAAATAAATCTACACGAACAGTTGAAATTCTTTGTTCATATTTACCATATATGGCTGATATTTATTTTCAATATTGTAATAGTCATTCACAAACTGATAAATATTTAAAATCTGAAGTTGACTGAAATGAACAATTTCGTTCATAGAGAAATAGTTTTCAAAATAAAACAGGTGGTTTATCATTAAATGGTTTTTTAACAAAATCAATACAACGAGTTGCATGTTATCGATTATTAATTGAAAAAGTTCCTAAACATAACTAAATTTCATAAACAACGACAATTACTTTTACATGGTTCTCTAATGAAGACGAGAAAGAGAATAATCAAAATCTATTATCTATTTAAAAAGTTAAGAAACTTTGTTGTATCACAAATGATTCAGGCATAAAAGTAGCTAGCGCTATATCGTTTTCAGTATTCGCAAGAGGACTGATAATTTAATTAAAAATTGTCATGTAGTAGTCAATTCTCAATTAGGATTTTCGAAGTGATGCTGTTGGAAATTTTCCTATTACACGTTCACTTTTACGATAGCTGTTTGATAACAAAAATCAAGACGTCTCTCAGTGGTTCTGCTGCCAAGTTATAAGCATTGTGCTGAGGCGTTTGAAATCGGTCAATTGATCACTGATGCTTTGGAAATGAGTTAGTATTGAAGATTTTGGCCATGTTTATCATTTTTTAAAAGCAGCATGAAAAAAAATTGGACATTTGCGAAATAGTTCATTGAACGGTTTCGAAGGTCTCATAAGAACGCTTATAACTTAGCAACGGAATCGTCTAGAGAGGTGTTGACTTTTTCTTTCAAAGTAATACCTTAAAAGTCAACATGTAATAAGAAAATTTCGAATAGCATTGCTTCTAAAATGGTTACTGAAAACTACTCATACAATAGAGCCCATTGATATTCGGCATGGATCATACTCTAATTTTAAAGTTGTTATCCATTCTGTTTAGGTACCAAGTGGAAAAGAACTATTAGCATTTTTATTTAACAATTTTCTTTTATTTTCGACTATAAAAACATTATCAAAAGATTGGTAATCACAATTATTTGAGTTATAAGAGTATAGTTGTAAGGGTATAGAATAATGATGTAGTTATAAGGAGATAGAAAAAGGGTAGATATGACATCATACTGTGGAATTGAACAGCATCTAAGGTACAAAACCTATTGGTACAAACTAACGAGGAAACATTTCCAAGTGATATTCATCATTTGGCCTCATATTTTGCTCATAAGTAGGATCCAGTGAGACTAGAAAATCCGTAAAAGATTTTGTGCCATTAGGGCTTTCTTTCAAAGTTATGACCGTTTTACCGAATTTTCAACCTTGGACAAGCAGTTTATAGAAAAATTGAATCTTTGCTTAACGATAGGTTTCATCAATCTTAGAAGATTGTAAAGTTTTCAGCCAAAATAGATGCTTGCTGCTCGAGATTTTTCATATTGAATACAAGGGTCATTTTCGAAAAAATTGTCATAATATTCACTTCTTTTTAATATACAATATCTCGAGCAGCAAGCATCTGTGTTAACTGAAAGCTTTACAACCTTCTAAGACTGATGAAACACATTGATAAGAAAAATTTCAGCTTGAAATTCTTTCATTCAATTTTTCTATAAACTGCTTGTCCAAGGTTGAAAATTCGGTAAAACGGTCATAACTTTGAAAGAAAGGCCTAATGGCACGAAATCTTTTAGGAATTTTCTAGTCTCACTGGATCCTACTTGTGAGTAAAATATGAGCCCAAATGATAAGTATCACTTGGGAATGTTATCTCGCAAGAAAGATTTAATGATGAGCCATTTAAATGGTGTAACACTGTATGCGCAGGACAGAACTATTCTTAATAAAAAGTCAGAAATGGTTTCGTCAATTCATTACGAAATCCTTTTTCAGGCAGAACCATATTTTGGAGGTTCTGTCTAGTACCAAACAGCAGAACCCTCAAAAGGGTTGTGCAAAACTCCATATTTTTTTCAGAGTACACTCTCATGATAGTTTACCACATCCTGCCCTACACAGTGGATGTTTGCATACTTCTCTTAGTTATTCATTTACCGTTTGGGACGGTCTGAAAATTCCCATTGCTCCTAAAAAAATATTTCCAAGCCTGACTCCAATACTGCCGGACAAAGGTACTCAATGTTCCCTCTATGATGACTTTTCCTTCTAATTTAAATCCTATGTACTTCATGGTGATACCACGGCAGGTTTTTCTGAGTCTCATGTCCTTGGAATATTGTAGCCCTTACTGATTGCTAGTGACCCTAGAAAAATCACTCTGGGTCTATATCAAATAGTGGAGAACGAAGGTCCACAAGGTTACCCTTATAGGGCATTTTTACGTATATTTAGGCTCTATGTTCTTGATGGATTGAAGTAAAGGAAAAGTTCAACGGATCAAGCTGAAATTTTCAGCGATGACTACTAACATATAGTTGAACGTTTACTGAAAGTTTCAGATAAATCTACCTTCACTTTCTAAATGGGCCGAAATGCACCTAAAACGTCCCCGTCCATTCTCTGTGGGCCTTCATTCTATATATATACTTTTTTTTTGTTTGAAAGCTTGTCTCTAGGACAAGTCTAGCTTTTGGCTTTTTTTAAAATTCTTAGTTTTTAAGGGAAGAAAAGGGATGACAAGTTCAATGACTCAAAAATTCGCTAAAAGGGTGCTTTTTTCATAGAGATGCTTTCTTATATGATATTAAAAAGACTCGTTTTAAGAAATGGACCACGAGATAGGCTAGCCCTGGAGACGAGATTTCAAACAAAAAAGAAAAAAAGATTATTTTACTTTATATCGGATTGTAGTTGAGTTTCTCTAGAGATGCGTCATTTGACGACCATTTTGAGGAAAAAACGAAAAAATCGCTGGTTTCTCGAATAGGGGCTGTCAAAATTCTTGAAAATTTTTCTGGAAAAAGGAGATATTAAAGAAAAGTTTTTATCGTTTACGAAGGAGCAACTGACATGCTATCTTTCCATCTATTTATCACAATTTTTACCATTCTGACGAAATCCGACTTTTTTGAGAGGAACGAGGCCTTGAGTGACAATTATTTCAATCTTATTTAATTTTTTTGACATATTTATCAAAAAAGTTTTTGCACAAATATTTCTCTTTTGTTTTTTGTAGCAATATATAAAAATCGATTTATCGTGTTCCAGTTTGATCAGTCATCGTTCAGCAATATAAAACGATGTTATGAGCTGCGTAACCATCGAATTTAACATCATTCGACTTGGTTTTATAGTTGTACATAAAGATAAATTCATGTAAACGTTGCCATATGATCTGCTTGATTTAACCAACACGACAATTGAAAAACGATTGATTTCTTTCTTTTAATCGAAAATAATAACTTTGCACAGGATTTGTGAAGTTTATTCGTATAAATAAAACCTTCAATAATACTTCTTATTGAAAAAGAAATTAAGTAAATTTAATCAATAGTGAAGTCAGAAGAATTTATTTTCCATATTGACTTTTCTGACATTCTGTATAAACTCGATGATGCAAAAAGGAAAGGAAATATCTTTTAAAGAAATCGATACTTTGTCTGAAATTAAAAGAAAAGAAAACAGCACAATATGTCGATCTCTGTACCTTTTCAATAAGCATATTTTCAAAGAACTAATTTTTTATCGGTGAATAAAAAATATTCTTCTCTAGAAAACTATACATGATTTATTTATTTTTTAGAAATTCTTAAATAAAACAGTTGACAACAATTCGTACAGAAAGTTTTCAATTCTTGAAAAATATTTTAATCGAAGACAGTTAATTTGACTGTAGTAAAGTCTTTAAGAAAAGCTTGTAAAAGAATAATTAAGTCAACTTTTTATAGACTTCTCAAGATGCATTATATAAAACATCAATTATTGCAGTTGAATTCATATTTTTGTCGAATTTATTAAAAGATTTTTTTGCAAAAATCTTTCGTTTTTTTCTTGTCACCATTTAATTTAAGAATTGGAACTAATATCAAATAAAGAAAAAAGTTCTGTCTAAGAGTGAAAATCTATTAATATGAAACTTTTGTTTTTCTATCATATTTTTATTTTGTTTAATCTAGATTTAGACTATTATTGAAGAACATCAACTACAATGTTCATGTCAATGAAATTTATAAGAAACTGCTGAACTTTGTTTATCAATTTGTATTAATTTGAAAGATAAGGTTTCATTTGTTGTCATGTTTTTTTCTAGTCTTTTGAATTAAAAATGACTCTTCTATAATTATCTTAATCATCAACAAAGAATACTTCTTTTTTAATTCAACGAAAAAAAATGATATGTTCAACAAATTCACAAGATGATAAATCACTTTTCTTTAATGAAAGATTACTATAATCAAATTTCTATAAGTTTATTTTTCATAGATAATAGTCCAATAACAACAAATATCGATAATATAAATTAATTTTTTTATTGAAAATTTTCATTAAGAAAATTGAACAACAAATACAGCAATTGATGATCCTATTTTTACACATCAAGTTCAATGACACAAAAAAAAGTCTTTCATTTCGACTTCGTTCTCTTTCAGAAGAAATAGAATATAAGACAAAAAAATAGATGAAATATTTTTAATAAAGTTTTCTTTTTATCAATAAATCTCATAAGAGACGGTATAAAACAAATCAAAATCGACGATCTCAAACAATGAATGCTATAAAATCTAAATCATTAAGAACACAAAAAATTTGTGGTTAGCCTTCGACGCTTCACTAATGAAAAGCACTCAAAGATTCAGAGGTTCCAATATAATTAGATCATTTGTCAATGAATATTCAAAAAGAAAAATATTTGAAGATGAGCAGAACATTGTATAGTCGCTGTTTTTTTAATTTCCGCCTCAAAAAACGTTGTCAAGATTTCTGATTTTGTAATATATTTAAATGATCCTGAATTTCTGCTATTGTAAGGGTAAAGAACTATGAATCCTTTTAATCCTGACTTTAGCTCCAGAAATTTTTCTCGAATCTGAGATGAACCCTCCTCAAACCTATTTTTTGTCGTGTCTAAATTGAAAAAACTCGGACTGGCAGCCATTCATTCAAAGATCAACAACAAACTACAGAACGAGAAATACTTTTTTTTAAAGGTAACTCTATAATAATTTTTTACGAGACTGAGTCTTAGATAATATATCTATTTTCTCTTCATAACACACTTGGTATTTAATTGAAATATAGAAAAGTAAAACAATATAAAACTAAAAAGTTCAAACTAGGAATAGAAAAAAGAAGGAATGATTAAATGGTTATCGAATCAAACTTGTATTTAACATTACTAGAATTAGATTTAATTGACAAGTTTCATTATTATCAGAAATCAAAATGTACAACTCGCGAATCATCATTTCGTATAAATTGCATCGAACGATGTTGTTAATTAAATTCTATTAAATTTCTATTAGGTAACATTTCCTCAACGATGTAAACATCATCAGACTACTTTAGAAATGAATACATACATTCGTCTCTATTCTATTCATAATGAAATGAATAAAATCGTCTTATTAGAGATATTAGAGATGAAATTTTCCTTCTTGAGTCTTTCTTCGTTCATTTCACTATTTCAAGAATAAAGAAAAATGTGCGTCTTTATTATTCTGTTTTTTTTTCTAATAAAATCGATAACGTTGGCGAAACATCATTCAATATAAATTAAATCAATATGAAGAGAAATATTTGATTAACAATTAACAAATCTTTCATCATAAAACATTGACAAATATCAAAATTTCTCTCTCACTCATGAAGAAGAAATCACACGAATCAGCTTGGAAAAATATTGATCACGATTCCACCGAGTCGAGCCCATAGAGTTCAAGAATTTCAGGACTCATATTTAATCGATAAAATTTTCTTCAATCTCAACATTATTAATCAATCATTGTAGGCCTAGACTCGTATAGTGCTTCTAAAAATTTTAATGAAGTTTTCTCAATGACATCTGTTAGTCGCATTAAAGGTACAATTTCAGTCCATATTAAAATTCATAGAATCCAACTATTTCTGAACAGGAACCCGATAGACTTCATCACCAGGACGGGAATGAGAATCACATTGCAAATCTCTATAAAAAAGTTCCAAAATAGTTTTTGCTAAAGTCAAAGAGTATTAGTCTATCGAATTTGTTGTTTAAGACGAAGTATAAAGTAATAAAAGAATCTTTTCAACCTATAGAAAAAGATACTCATACGATAAATGCATTGAATGTATTTAATATATTCTATTTTAATAAAAATGAACACAACTTACGAAAAAAATTTCTATCACTCTTTTTTTTACTTTAGGTAATTTAGCACAATTTAACAATTGTTTTTGTTCATCAATTCTTTCTCTTAACAGTGCTACTAGAAATATAACATCTCATTTACTATCATATACAACACATGCGCATCAAGTTCAATGAATAAAATACGAGAAGATACAACAATAAAACAATCAGTACTTATTCTAATTTCATTCTATTCAATTTCATTATTAGCTAGAAATCCTCAAATATATCGTTTTCCATTGAATAATCACTTTAAAAACATGACTAAATCTTGTTCAATTGAAAATCTTATTCTTTCTCGAACAACAATGCATCAATAACAATGTTATGTCGAATAGAAATCTCTTGTGTACCTCTTGATTTATCTAATTTTCTAATAGCAACTAATAATTAACCATCAACAAAAAATAATTAAACAAAAGAAAATCATTATTATTATATCAAATTAGATCATCAATTAAATGATCTTATGTTAAACTGAACATAAAATTGTTTTTTTATCATGATATAATCATCTTATTGATGATCTATATAAACATTTGAAAACCTTCTTCAAGAATTCTCCTTCTATTTATATATTTATCTGTTCGTTATTTATGTTTTTTTTTTCTTTGTTCATATCGTGAATCATCTATTGTGATAAATATCATTAATCTTGTGACTTTTTCTTTATTTCTTTGAATATATAGATATGTAATGTATTCAATGTTCTAGGGCTTTCAGTGTCTTGTTTATATATTTCTTTCTTTCTTTCTTTTTTTCCGACTGTCTCTGTATCGATTGATCTAAATTCTCGATTTTCTCAATTAAAATTTTATTTCATTTTAGATTATTTACATCTTCAATTTTTCAATTTCATATTATGGCCGAAAAAACTTTTCGTAGTAAAATAACCGCTGCTAAAAATGATGTATGTTAACATTTTTTTACGAAGATTTTTAGTTTTTTTTTTTATAATTTAGATCGTCAAACTTGAGCAAATTGAAAAAGAATGTGAAAATGACTATAATGAAGTATCTAAAAATCTTGACAATGCACAAAAAACAAATCCAAGTCAAACTGATACAATTAATGAGCTAAAAAGTGTTCAAGTTGAAAAACAAATAAATCTGCTTTGTGCTGGATTAACTGCTGAAAAGTGCGCAGATCAACGTGAATCAGTATTAGCAAAACAGCTTCGTAAGTTATATAAAGAATCTTTTTTTAGTGGACTATCTATTAAATTTGTTTTAAATAGTTTTAGGTAATAAAGCTGGTCAAATTGTTATTCTTGGTCTTCATAATGCTGGAAAAGTAAAATAAGACAAAAAAAATTTTTTTTTCTGATAAATCTTCATTATCTTTGTAGTCAACTTTATTACGTACATTAAAAGATAATCCATTTGATGAATATACATCAAGTTTATCTTCAAGTATGAAGAGATTTTTAGTTTTTCTTTAATTATAAATTTTTTTATTTATAGATTGTGAAGAATTAATTATGGGAAATATGAAATTTGTGCGGCATTTAATTTAGCTCATCATCATGCTCAAGGTAATATAATAAAAAAATATTTCGATTTACGATTTTTTTTATAGGTGGTCATTTATGGAAAGATTATATTTCAAGTGCTGATTCAATTGTATTTCTTGTCGATGCAGCTGATCCAATTCGTTTTACTAAAGCAAAAGCAGAACTTGATGTTCGTATTTCATTTTTTTTTGTATTTTATCTTAAAAATTATTTTTTTTTTATTAGGATCTATTAAAAAATGAAAAAATTTTTAATATACCAATTGTTACACTTGGCAGTAAATTTGATTCAGAAAAGCTGTTGATGAAGAAAGTCTTCGTGCAGCACTTGATTTATCAGAAACAATGGAACAAGTAAAAGAAAACATTTATTTATATATTAATAAGTGTTTTTTTCTTAGCATCATGATGGTCGTAATTTACGTAATTTACAATTATGCATGTGTAATATGAACGACATTGGCACTTTTGGATGTGCCTTTAGATACATTGGACGATTTTTAAAAGAGATATAAAATTTTATGTTCTTTTTCTATTTAAAAAGAAATATATTCTTAAATATAATCACTTCATTTATTTCGGCCCAAAAGGGTTAAGAAGACGAAAAGAAAAATATCACTAAAGAAAATTAACTTAATATCTTAGCCAAATCTAGAAATGAATCGATATGAGCAGTCCTAGTCGGTAAGGATCAGTCTTACTCTCGTCCAGGTAGAAGAATCCTATGAAGATCATAGAAGATCTTATTCACCATCAGTTTTTTTATTTTTAATATGTATCTTATTATAAGATGGTAGTTTGAATCGTACATTCATCTTACTGTAAAATTCTTGCAGAATCTGAGGCTTGAAATCTTATAAGAATATACACTTTCGATATTTAACTATGTTCTAAATTAAATATTGGTTCTTCTAGCATTGTCAAATACATATTTTTATTAAATTAAAAAATTGCACAGATTACATTCATTTCTCTTAATAAACTTATTTGCTTTAAGTTATTTATCAATCGAAACTGTTTAAAACTATTTCATTTTTTCTTTGAAGTATTTGAAATTTTTTTTTCTTTTTATTGAAATATTCTTTCATATTTTCTTGATTAAATTTTTTATTAAATTCTTATTTATTTTAATTTCAACGCCTTATAGTTTACGTCTTTAAAATATATCTACAGTATGACTATAGAAATAACCTGAAAATTTAAAGTATCTTGAGAACTGTGTATGTTGAACACTATTTATTGATTGAATCAGCTTTCAGAATGACACATATCACTCAAAATTTCATAATAATTGTCTTATTCAATTACAGTGTGTCTGACCTCGACTTCAATCTTTGTTTAACGGATTTTGCTTCACAAAAAATACTTTATTATTCATTCATGAATAATAAAATATGATTTTGAATTGAACGTCATTAAAATAAAGAATCTCGTCGTTATATAAATCTTCTATAATCATCTATATCAGTAGTTGATTTGTTCTGTTTATAAAACTCAAGAGGACAACTTTATAATGAAGAATAGACAATAGATAATCATTCAATGATTGCTAAGTACTATGTATGTCTCTTTATTGGATTGTTTATTCTATCTCTAATCCAACAGATAAATACAAATTAAACTAAATCAGTTTTTTTTCCTATAATTTATTGTTAATAGATTGACCATGATATTTAATATATTCTTCTTTTTATTTCTTGTTTATACAAGCTATGAATATGAAATATCGAAAACATTTTTATGATCATCAGGATCAGAACAGAAGATAGATCTTAATTCAGAATTTAAACCTATCACACAGCCTGCTGCAAAATATTATGCTTAAATTGATAGAATAGATACAACATAAATATTTATCCACGTCGAGATTAACAATAACTAAAACAACAACACCACTAATGACATCGATACCATTATGTGATCCAAAACATTATTTTTAAATACAATTATTTTTGAAACCATAAATACATAGCAATCAAACTTTGTTGTTGAATCATTAAAAACTTTTGTCTTTTGTTATATTGATTTTATTTTATCTAATCAGTATGATCCAAATATATTCAATGTTCTCGGAGTATTTACTTTTATTGGCATAAATTTTAAGAAAAATAATATTTACAATAAAGGAAAATATTGATGAAAAGTTTTTGGAGGTACAAACGCCCCCTTTATGCAAAGTCTGATCAGTTTACTACAAGTAATACGTGTAGCATCATTAGTAAAATTATTTGTGGCCAGAATGAGCGATTCATAGTCGATATCAAGGTTCAAGAAAAAAGGTAAATAACAATATTTATCAATGAGAAATTGTTCGGCATAATCTCCATGAGCATCATGAAGATCGAGATAAATAAGATGAGAAAAAATGATCAATGGCGTTGATTGTTGTTTGTCTTTCTGTGGTTCTTCATTCATGATATGCAACTTTTTCAATAGAGGAAAACTTTGAGAGATAACTTTGAAAAAGTTATGTTCAAAAGGACAGAAGTCGGTCATTATCAGGGATTGAACAATATAAAATATTCCACCTTGAAAAGAATTATTTAAAAAATGAAAATTTTTGAATTGATATGGAAGGGAATAGATGTGACATCTACTTTTGAATTCATATGGTAATGAATAGCTATGACATTTATCTTTATTTTCTCTTGTGAAAGTTTCAATATGTGAAGCAACTGGTTCATAATCTTTTCTGCTAAAAGTACGCTGAATATCTTCATTTGACGAAAAAGCAATTTCAACATTCTTCTTATCTACATTTGTGTGTATATTGAAAGTAAATTTGTTTAATCGTGGCATATAAATAAGAATATCATCATATAATTTACTTCCATCAATATAATTCTTGTTACTTCTTATTATTGACAAATATAATATCAATTCTTCAAGATTTATCATTCGTCGAAGTAATGGAATAATTAAATTATCATATAAAAGTATGCGTGGATATGATGTTAATGAGAAATGTTTCAATTTGGGAAGTTTTTCTTATAAAAAAAAGGGAAAACAACGTATCTTTAATTATAGTATTCAGTTTTTTTCTCGAAATACAATAGTTGACAATTATACCGACTTTATTATCGAGTTTCTGATGTACATGAAATTATTTTTACATATATAATCAATGTTGATAAACAATTGAAACGTCCATCAAGTAGCAGAGCATAAAACAGGCCTACTTTCTCTAGACCTGGCCTGCCCGTGGCAGGCTTCAAAGTTCTACAGCCTGCCTGTGCCTGTCGCTCATTTTTTGGGCCTGGCCTGCCTGCCTGTCGTTTTCGTTTGGCCTGCCTGGCCTGCCTGTCGAAGCCTGTGTATAGTTTTCATGCACCAATACGGTATAATGATTAAACGAAACCTCAAAACAGCCG